CGATTTAATTTTTTCCTAAAAAAATCTCACAAATCCTTTGTTGGGCGCTTTAATGCGATATTCAGGAACACTTTCTCAATTATTTTCGTTCTGTATCTTAGAGGAATGTGTATTTCTTGTATTAAATGCATTACCAATAAAATAAATAAAAAATGAACAATAAGGGTGCCATTTTAAAGTCATATTAGGCCTGTTCGCACAGAAATCACCAACCAGTCAGAGCAAATTTCATTGGTTGAAACTAGTTTTCTGACGGTTTCTGACTGTTTCCAACCAATGAAATTCGCTCTGACTGGTTTGTGATTGCTGTGCGAACAGGCCTATTAATTCCATTGTACGCTTCAATTTTGTTCGGAACAAAAATAGGATAAAATAAAGACTACAAAGGTTTTCAATTTAAAAAACTTTTGCTACATGTGCCATTTCGAATTGCACATAGGTACCACAAAAAATTACATTTTTTTTTTGGTTGCAGCACAATAGTTATTTTTGTATCTAGTGCGCGAAATGCTACTTTGGTGTCGAGATTACCAAAGTATTTCGCGCCCGAGTTGCAAACAATATTTTTTCTACAACTCCATTTAAATATCGATCATTCGAAGCCAAAATTGCATTCTCAATCAAAGGTAGGTGAATTTTAATTATTTTTGGTTTCCTGACAGGTATGTGTTACCATGACACCAGTGTGCGAACTAGCTAGTTCGCGCACGGCGCCAACTAGCCAACTAGCTGCTATTCTAGTAAAAATTGCGTTTTCTATCAAAAAAGCCAAGGGGTTGGTTAGTTTGTAAACTATCCAGCTAGTTCACAAACTAGCCAAGTTCGCATATTAACTGTAACATATACAAAAACAACCTAATAGAAATAAAACAAATATTTTCTTTACGCTGGAGCTGGAATGTTCTTTTTTGAAGGTTCACGTTGGGTTACCGAATTTCCGGTTGGGTATGGGTTGATAATAAACAAAATAATTGATTTATTTTATTCCTTGTTATAAAGAAAAAAAAAGCCCAATTTTATTTCGTCGTTACCATTAATAGTCCAGTGGTTCGGTTCCCATTCGATATATCGATGCATCGCCATCTATATCGATGTTCTTCTTTTTGATGTTTTCAAAACATCGATGAATCGTTGCCATCCCTAGTACTGACACTGAGGAAGGCTTCTAACGGCCATTTGCACCGCTATAACTAAGGGATATCTCATCCAAGTGGAGCTTTGAATGTGACTCTTGTAGAAACAAAACTCACATTCAAAGCTCCACTTAGATTAAATATCAAGTGATAGCCGTGCAAATGGCCATCATGAGCGTAATTTGACATCTATGTCGCATTTATGGCATGACAGCGTACCTGAATGCAGAATTCGGATTGGCCAAAATCCCGCCATATTGGATATGCTGACACTGTGCCGCAGAGATATGCCAAAAGTTGAGCACAGTTCAACTTTTCGCGTAGAAATTCAGCGTTTTTAGAAGTTAAGGTTGCAACCGTTTCGTTTTCTTGATTTTTGTAATTTAAGCCACATTGCCACATTAAAGGTGTGTGCACATTATCATGCACGTATCGTTTCCGATACGTTTCAGTTCCGAAAAATATTATGCAATGATTTTATGTGAACCAATACACATTTTCAGACACGGATCGTATCAGGCACCTTGCGTTTCCGTCTGAATTTTATATTCGGAGACCATATCTGCCGGATGCCGGTTCGCGCGGAATCTGCTGGAACTTTTCTAAACATATTATATGAATGTAGCTTTTGTTTGGCACAAAAAATGGGGTGATGGAATGAAATATGAGGGAAAATCTGTGCAGCAAAATTCCGATTCTCGCGGAGAACATTTTTTTTCAATGAAACTTCAAAAAAATGGGGGTTTGAGCGTCAAGCTAGCCCCGCCACACCGTTTGAACAAAAAATGGGGTAATGGAATTGAGTAGGAGGGAAAATATGTGCAGTACAATTCAGCACAATTCCGATTCTTAAGGAAAACACTTTTTTCAAATGAGATTTAAAAAAAAATGGGGGGCTGAGCGTCAAGTTAGCCCCCCTCTACTTTTTTGTAAATAACTCGTTATCAAAATATCAAAATTTCTAATATTGGCAGCACAATTGAGCACCATTCTAGCACAATTGATTTCTACCAAAAAAGTTATGAAATCCGGTTATGGGGGGGCTAACTTGACGCAGCCTGAAAATACTTTCCACGATTTCTTTATACCTCCTCAAATTGCCAATTCTCGCGTACGTACAAGACTCGATAGGTGCGAATTTAAATTGATTTCCAAGACGTTTAAAAACCAAAAACTGTTTGCGTATTTTATCTCGACTTGACTGATGACCGACTTTCGATTCTAGAATATATTCTGTCTTCTCTACTTGATTGTTCAACTACATATAGTCCAGAAGGCGGGAGCCGAGGCCCTTTTTTCCAACTCATTAATAAAAAGCTAATTCTTTCAAAGCAGCTTCATTTTACAGAGACGCCCAACTTTTTCTTCTGCGAAAATTTCGAAAACAGGTAGCTATACAGAGTGCGCAGGTGTAAAATATGTCGATTTGGTGATTATGTGAATCTTATTAAGACGTTAGCTACCGCAGCTCATTTTTAAAACATAACGAATTTGAAAGCTTGACAGCCGGCGATCATTTGAGTATATGTTTCATATGCCTAATGGACGACCGGATATCATTGACATGCATTACCTAAACCGTCTCTTGGTCACCGGCAACTCATGTCTCAGGTACATTTCTCATAAGTATAGCTTGTCGGCACTGAGGGAAACCCAAAATATAATTGGTTTGGCATTACGTGAATATTTGTGAAAAATATGGAAAATAAAATTATAGATATCATTGAAAACTAAACTTTTAATTCAAAAACTAATAAATTATTATAGTTGAAAACTAATCATGGCCAGGAAAACATTTAATACATACAAAAGGCTTTTCAGGGCAAGTACCGCAAAAAGTTGTTACTTTTTTTGCCATCATACCAGCAAGCTTGTAGCCATGAATCCAAGAAAAATTTTTGTAACACATGTAGCACCTTCTTCTTATCTTTCGGTTTCTTCTACATTTTTCTTCCGTTTCCTCCAAAATATGTACCTTACCTACAAAAAAGAATAAAACACTAAAAAACTTATGGCTTGTGACCGATTTAATTAAATTAAAAATACCGCATATAGGTACTCTTGAATAATATTTGATATCTATCAATATTTTTTTCAGGTTATGTTTTGCCGTTTTTACCAGTCCGCCAGTGGTCATGTGGCAAATAACTTAGAAAATGATTTCGGTAGTGCCGCCAGACAGTCGGCATTTAAAAATGATACCATAATGGAATTTCCAGTGTCCAAAAACCTATATTGATTGTTTGATTGGTTCTGTAATTTTACCGGAGTGGTACATTAAACGACTATTTTGAAACTGTTTTTCGATTTATTCACGGTAAAAACGATACATTTTAAGGAGCAAAAAGTACATCGACCTGCACGGCGTAGTACGAAGCTCATTCTCATTACTGATTTTGACATTTGACATTGTCCAGCGCAAGCCTATGAATGTTGCAACTTTTAATTTTGGCATGCAAGCCATGGCAATTTAGAGTTCGCACCTGATAGTCCAGGAGGCAGTGAAATTTTTTAGCAATTATTTTTCCAGTTGGTGTATATTAAAAAGTTTGTTCTATTGGTGATATAAAACAAGAATATTTGAGTTTCGCAAAAATTTTCGGATGGGTTCACAAGATAATTGAAAAATACAAGAACACTTATTTTCCCAGTCATAAATATTTCACATTCACTACAATAGAACATAAAGTATATGAAAATAGCAATTTGGCTTATCTCAGATAGTGGAGAGTAAGTCTGGCTGAAATTTTTCGGATCTTCATTTTTCACTTGCCAGACGTATTATCCATACTCACAGATTGGCCGGACTATTTTTTACGTAACTTCAGTATACTTCTCATTAGTAGATCTATTTTTATCACTGGAAAAAGAAAGGGCGGTGCATTCGTAAGCTCTAACGCATTTTGCGCCTCAACCCATCGGTAAACCCCCCCTAAAAATATATGAATTTTGCTTAGAATTACTAACCCTACAATTCTATCCATGTTGTCTGACTGGAAAAATAAGTGCCGAAAATCGTCACTGTCTCCTAGACTATGATTTTCTGTTCTACTCATAATACCATGGGAAAATTTAAAAAACAGTAAATGCTATATTTTCAAGAAAAGGGACACTGCAGTCTGCAGACCCATATATTTATTTTCTGGGTCGTGGGTCAAATCGAATTTCGAATTGTTCATAAAATTATATCAACATTTAGCTAAAGAAATAAACTGTTGTCAATGAGATTTTCATAAGTAACAAATCCACACGTCTTTCACACAAGCTCACTTTTGTAGCTACAACTTTCGCAACTTTTCGCAAAAGAAAAGTTGAGCGTCGTATCAGAATGAAGATGCTCTCGACGATTTAACCGGGTATTGATGCAAAAGTTAAATCCTGAAATCCACAACTTTTGAGTGTAGGACTGGAAAAATGTAGGCATCTCTTTATTTGCAGGACAGTGTGAGCATTTATTTCTAGTAATATTTACCAAGCTACAGTGAAAAAATCAACTGATTATAAAGCATTTTTTATTACCCAGTAATTCCTACATGTTTGAATGGGGGGACAGCCTAGACCAAACCATTTATTTTGTCGGACTAATCAATGTTGTTTCAAATTATTTATAAAATTATCTCAATATTTTAGCAAAAAATTAACTTTTGCATAATCACCAAATAGATATGTCTTACACCTGCGCATTCTGTTAGCTACCTCTTTTCGCACTTTTCGTAGAGAAAAAAGTTGGGCATCTTTGTAAAATCAGTAAAATGAAGCTGGTCTCAAAGTAAGTAAACCTTGGAGTAGGTTCAGGTCCTTCTCTGTTAGAGGTAATACCGACTATCGCCAAGTCACTTTCTCACCTTGGGAAGTCATTCCTAATCCCAACCTTAGTCGCACTAAATACCCGCAAGACTGTATCGAATTGACTAAAATATGTCTATATAGAAAAAAAGACTACTGTTGGCCTGGTAAATCAAACAACAGTTAAGGTTTAAAGCAAACTTCATTAACATGAAATACATGTAGGTTAACCTCATAAACACCCGTAGGTAGCTAAATTCAATAGATAAAAAAATTAATATTACTTTTTCTGCTTATTCAGGACCCTCTCTTTGGCCCTAACTAAGAACTTTTTTATGCTTCTAATAATTTCATCGTCACAAGCATTGCTTGTTCTTTTATTTTGTCGAACAGCCTCTGAAATTAGAAAAAAATCATCATACATTTTCAGTTAATTTTATATTATAGATTCAAATCACATAGGGGTACTCACCAAAAATGGCTTTAATGAATGGAAGTTCGCAAAATTTTCTCTTTCCTTTGCCTCCTTCCCAACTATACAGTTGTGCAAATTCACTGGTCATGATCCTGTACATGATCTTTTTTGTAAGTTCTTCTGGAGAGTTTCCTCCAATCAAACTCAGTTCTTTCGTCTAAAAAATTTATGTTTCCTTAATACAAGCCATAACTTATCAATAATACCCAAACTCACCAATCTCTTGAAATTTTGGACAACATTTAATAGTTTTATTAAATCATCTAATCCTTCATCATCATGTAATGGAAGAAGGTGATCACAGGCTTCACCTACAAGTTCATCACGATCACTTCCATCATTGAGTTGCCTGCTTTCCAACAGGCTCCTGATGGAATCAAAGCATTCGTCATAATGAGACAATTTAAGGCTTATCACATTCAGTTCATGAATTACTAGCTTCTTGAAATCTACAAAATAATATTATTTATTCTGGGAGAATTGAACGCATGGGGATTAATGAGAACTAGATCTTATTTCTTTCTGGTTGGGAGTTGCTGATATCGATCTTATATTGTTTAAAGTAAAGACCAGAGTGCTTGTGTATTAATCGAGAATAAAGTTGTAAAAGAATAAAATAAATCGTATTTTTTTATAACGTTTTTCTCAAAGAACGTATCACATTCTATGGGCATTAGGAATTCTGAGAAACATTAGTATTAGCCAAAGTCACACCTATGGACTTGGGGCAGTTTTCGTCTTAAAGGGTAATACTTATTGTCAGTCTCCTCTTTAATTAACAAAACAATTCAGTGGTAATTTTCAATTAACAAATTAATAAACAACAAGGATTCACAGTGGTCATTTATTTTCTTATTCATTTCGACTACAGATAAAGTATTTCTCATAATCAATTGAATATAATTGTCGACAATGCCTATATCTTTTGATTTTCAGTCATTGAGTTTCAGTTGAGATTTTTTTGACCTTCTGTCGGATTCTGGGGATGTCTTTGATGGATTTTCAAAAGCAATCTAGCAACGTTAAATAAGCAATGCTGGCGGCTCTGCGTTTTGCTACTGTACTACTGTGCTGCTGGTAATGGATCAACGATAGTTGTGGCACTAAATTATTTGAATCTTCAATCCGACGCATTTGATTCGTTTGGATTGCAAAGTTATTCCCGAAAAAATTTGCTGAAACAAAATCCTTCCCGGAAGTATATCGCACCTTCTCTGATAGAGAATTGGAGGCGAAAGCCAAACAAGGCACTGTGACTGAAATATCCAGTGTGGATGAGGAGAAGGACAGTGCTTCCCTTTCAAAACCACAAAAGCCTGAGCGCCCTAATGAAGACACCAGCCATGACCATTCAAGTCACAGCCTGGACTGAGAGGTTGGAGAGACCTTGATTACGCCAGACTGTTATAAGTGGGAACACTAAAATCTAACTACAGATGCCATCTGATCCCTGGATGAGGAGAAGCGACCTTATAACTGCCCACTCCAGCAAAAGAGGGTCCTACTTTTGGTGATCCACCAATTTCCCGTAAAAATAAAATGCAAGGTAGTCGACAACAACCTAAGCCATAATGGCGGCACATATGCCAAAGTTAGTCAGTTGACTGTTGAAGAAATTATGATATCGGTTGTCCTAGTGAGAAAGTAGAATAAAAGGATCCAAAATATGAAGCGCATCTTGGGGGTGGACGGACAACAAGATCGAGCGCAAGATTCGATCTGGATAGCCGCAGCTTCCGATGCACGTATTCGGACCCGACTCACCCAAACCCAATTCAATTTTTCAGAAAAAAGCGTGAAATGAACTGAGACTCACCGTTCCAATTCCTACGAGTTGACTAAAGCAACCAGGAAAGAAGGGTGGAATGCCATATACGCGCGAGTTGCAGTGAATTTGAGTACCCTGTAAGCTACCTTGGATGTCCCAGGTACCCGATGCCTACTGCCTCTCAGCAGGTCAGAGAGAACAACAATCGATTATCCACCAGATTGCCCCAGCAGACCTGAACAACCAATCGATAAGATCGCTGTGGGAGCTGTGGAGTATAATCTGCTGCACTTGAGGTTGAATAGCTATTAAAAGCTACAAGCTGTATATTGCACTGCAGGAAAACATGTTGATTGGTAGACAAATAATGCCATTTAGAGGATGCGCCAGGCATAAACCCAATAAGCCTGATCAGGATAGAATTGGAGTACCTACTCTTCTCTAGGATTCAATGTAGAAGTAAACATATAATGATGAGCAAATGCAAGACCAAGACCAAAACCGTGTTAGTCTTGGTCTTGCATATACGTCCTTGGTCTTTTTATTGGTCTTGCAGGGGGCAATTTTTACAAAGAAAATTAAAAAAAAAAAATAGTTTTTAAAGTAAGTAGAGGTTAAAAGTAAGAAAAGTAATGGACACCTCTTAATCCTAAAAAATGTTGAGGGAAAAATGTTAAATTTACTTCCACAAATATAGTTAAAAATTGAGTTTTTAAGTACAGGGTGTCCCAGCCGAGAGTGACCAATTTTAAATACTTATAGCTTTTGAAACAGGTGTGGTAACTATCTGCGGTTTACGCCATTCGATTTATCTTGGCCTGGATAGTCTGGGAGACGACCGCATTTTTCCTACCCCGATCGAGTTATGTGTCGACACTATTATCAATATATAGTAGTATATATAATATGTAAACCAAAATTATTATTGCCCAATGAAAAAGAGCACATCAGTTGTATGCATTTCTCAGCAAATGAAAAATTTGTTACCAATTTTAGTTAGGTACTCGTGTGCCATGCGGTAAACTGTACTTTTCCTCACACATTTGCGTGCGGTAAGTAGTACTTTACCACATACTATGCGGAATATACTAAGCGGAGAATACATAGTTCAAAAAGCAAAAATAATGCAAAAGATAGTAGTTTTTTTATGCACAGAAAAATCTTTTACTTTGAAAGGCCAATTCGATTCACATTGGAAATTTTAAATATGTTTGATAATCGTGTTTGGGAATTCTATAGCTCTGTTTCAACCGACATGAGAACCTTTATAGAACGGTAATTTCCAGTCGATCAATTCATTTGTTAAGTAGGATAAACGTTCAACAAAATTGAATGCTAAATTTAAGTACCTACTCTTTAGAAAAAAATGGAACCAAGACCAGTCTCGCTCATTACTATCAACATGTATGCTGTAATTGTTGAAATCAAGACAACCAGAGGAAAGAAGAAAGTACTTTCAGCTTACCTTTAACTCACTCCCAAAAACCAAATATTAGAAGGAAACAACACAAACACAACAAATGAGCTCTGCTACTAGGAACAACTCTCCATCATCATTTTTGACTCCAACAGTAAATCTTCTGCCTGGAACTCCATTAGTTAAAGGGGGTGTGACCCTAAAAAATAACTTAGGCTACTTAAAACAAGAAAAAAAATCTAAGATCTCTCGTGAAAACCGCAGTCCTATATTCAAAATAGTTTCCGAGAAAATTCCTTGTGAAGATAAATTATGCAGGAGTTTGTTACGTCACAACCGCCGAAATCGCAGTCTTATGTTTATTTAGTCGTCATTAAACCGTACCCCATACTTAAGTGGTTGCAATTCGCTCTAGTGAGATAATTGTCTTTTGTTTTGGAAAATTTTTACCCATGTTAATACTGTGCCTGATAGTTCGGTGTGACGTCACAAAAACCTAGTTGTAACTTTGAACCGCCCTAACTCGAAAACGAACTATCGTAGTAGGATGCGGTTTGAATATTTATTCTTAGATTTTTTTGCACTAAAACTTTCGTTTTTGGGTCCTACCCCCTTTAAGTGACCATAATGGCTTCCACCTTCCTGGAAAGTTCGCATCAGCGCATTAAAGGGACGCTAAATTAACTTTTTTTAAATTTGAAATCGGTGTCAGCATCCGTTAATCCGTGTCCAAATCTGTTTTTGCGACATGGAGCCAGGTATCAGAAATTACGTCACTTCTAAGGAAATTTATATTATAATTTCAAGAAAGCCACAGTCTCTAATAAAATAATTTATCAGATGCCAGAAAAGCCGTGATGGCCGTTACTAAAGTCAGCAACACCATCTTGAGATAATACCACTTCTCTCTCATACTGCATGAGAAGGCCGAAAGTTCTCCCAGGACTATCGTTCCATCAGCGCTCTGCTCTTTCTGAGCATCAGAAAGTCCCATCAACTCACAATAAAACTAACGTGTATTCTCTTTTTTTTCTAAATGTTTATTAATATAGTTATTATGTTAGCATCTATACTAAAAGTAATCTATACGTTCCAACCATGTGAACAAGTCCGTATTTTTTACAGCCGCCCAGTTTACTAGGTTTTCAACACAGGGGAACGTTTTTCATATGAATCACATGGTTGGATTGTATAAATTACTTTTGGTATAGGTACAGATTATTTGAAGGGAAATTCCAAATTTGAGCGTCATCGCAATGTGATCTCAGAATTCGAAGTATATAAAATTAGGGGTTTAAAGTAGTAGTAGTGAATAAACGAGTAGATAATACTATAATGACATACAAAACTAAAGAAAACTCATACACACTCTTACAGGTTATCTCGATTATGACTTAAGCTATATCGACACAGTCATTTGACTCATTTAAACCTAAGTTATGTGCGATATTTTTTTTAGTTTTTTTTATGTTGATAGGAATTCGCTAAGAATATGCACTTTGGCATAATTATGAGAAGGCTTGAATTTATAGAAATAGCTTTCAATAAAAGTATAGAACATAATGGATTCCTCTGGGAATTTCAAATCAAATAAGAAAATTATTTTAAAGCAAATATCTAGGGCACTTAAAATACTTGTAAATTCATATCGAGTCTCCCCAAATTGAACAAATATATTCTCTATGCTAAAAATGTCTTTTCCTGTTGCATAAATAGCAGGTTGCCACACCTTGGTTTTCTTGAGATGGGAAATGTATTCCTCCACCTGCTGTTGATTTGAACCAAGATAAATTACTGATTCTTGAGAATCCTTGATAGTGAATTTTGTGGTTATTTTTTTTCCCGTCAGATCTTTTTTAACCACCTTATTGGTGGGTACCAGGAATCCATGTATCGCCCAAATCAAAGCAGCATACTTTCCATCTGTAAAAATTGTATAAATTAATTAATAATATGTAGGTAAGTAAATGAAATTTATAATAATAATATGTTATAATGATGACCCATTTGAGTGAGAAAAATTTTGAAAATACATTTTCGAAAACGGTTCGTTTTTGGTTTTAACTTTGTAGGACTTCGAAGAGAGGGAGCTACACGCTATTGAAGGTCTATATCTTTCTTATCGTGGCAATATTTTTTAAGCCTATTTTTCTGAGTTGACGTGCTATGGCTTATATTTCACTGACGAGAGCATATTAAGCTCGGAACCGGTCTGCAATTAGCGATAGTAGTTACCCATGATTGTCCATTGTCTTATAAAGCAAAACCGCACGTAAATCTGTCCCTATCAGAGCAATACAAACTCATCCTATGCACATAAGAGTAATTAACAGTGTGTTATTGTTAGGAAGTTTTTTCAGATAATGACGAACGTGAAATCAGGGACATAAGAGTCCCTGTTTGGGAATCATCAGGACATAGGCTGAAGCTCCCTGTCCAAGCAAAATTGAACTTGAACAACGAAGTTCAATTAACAGTGAGTTGGATCTTTGGTTAAACACTTGTGTTTTTACAAAGAAACTTTTCAACAGCTTTCCTACAATTATAGTTCTAAGAAATGTAAAGTTTTTATTTCACAGCAGCAGCAAGGCAAGGATGAACATACTTGTAGATTCTGACGAACAATTTAAGACATTGTCGCAATTCGCGAAGTGTAAGTTATGAAGCGGTTCGGGATAAGGGTTGGCCTTTTGCTTGTCGGCTGAGCATGAGGTTAGACTGTGTGACAAAAACATCATCTTTTATCACATACGGGTAGTTTGAGGAATGATTCTATTTCCGTGGATGATCTTGTTAGAACAGATCCTGACAAAAAGAAGAAATCTCTGTGGTTAACGGTAGTCAAATTAGTGTTGCTCTATAACCTATAATCTTCTGCCTTCTGGAAGATCAGTGCTTCTACGCCCGGGAAAATATTTCAAAACTACAAGCATAAAGCAAAGACTACGAAATTTCGCTCAACATTGGTATGAAGAAAACACCGTCCGACTATTTCGAGTAGAGCCCTGCGAGTAAATTTCAATAGTTATTTGTTGGTGGTTTTTCAGTGGAATAGGGAAATAAAAACCTAATTTTTATGGAAACCGCTGATCCGGTTTTGCCTGAAGCTGTCACCAGGAACTCGACCTCCGTGGCGTTGATTTTTTTTTGAAAATCCAGATTTTACTCCCAAAATCCAGAATCTTATCCCAGAATTACCTCTACTCTACCTAAACGAATTTTCTAAACAATTCCAGAAACTTCTATGATAAATGACCGGCAGCATATAGCAAAAATGGATCAAGTTATTAAAATGATGGACAAGAGGAGGAAGCTCGAAGAGAGGAAGAAAAACCGGAAGAACATGACTGATTCCAACAAAATTTTAAATTTCAGCGAGAATGGATGCAAATCCTAATCTCTGAGGAACAAAGACTCGCGAAAATTCTGGACATACAAGATAATAAAGTCAAGAATACAATGGAAGAAGTACCTATGTGTAGACGTTGGAAGTCATCATCACGAAGTTGGGAGTGTTTATCAAGAAGTTGGGAGTTTTCGTCACGAGGTTCGTCAGGAAGTTGAAACTATTCGGCAGGAAATTGGAAACATTTGCACCGGTGCGTCAAGAAATGGATAGTTTTGAGAATAGGATTTAAAAGTTTGAATGAGATTTTAGATCAGTAAATGTCTTGCCTACAATCGGCATCAAAGTTAAGCGAACTCCAATTCGTTTGTGGGAAGAAGGATATCCTTGAGGGTTAGCGGAGGTGGCGAAACGGAAGACGAATATCATCAATGCTCACCCAATGCGTCAACCACCAAGAAGATTCATCAACAAGAATATGCTCGCAGGGGGAGTTATTGAACAGTCTGTGGACATCGCCAATTGTACTAGTACAAAAAAAGATGGATCTACCAGAGTTTGCGTCGACTGAACAAAGCCTAATGATGTCACTAGGAAAGACAGTTAGATACCCATTACCCAGAATAAATGACCATACATTGGCAGCCGCGAATTGGTTTTCTACTTTGAATTTATAAAGTGGATACTGGTAGGTAGGCATAACCGACAAACAAAAAGAAAAGAATAGGGTTTCCCACTGAAAATGGTATTTACCAATTCAAGGCAATGCCGTCCAGACTCTGTAATGTCCCTGCTACTACTAAGAGGCTTTTGGAAATGGTACTACTAGGACTTACATTTAGAGTATGACTTGTCTAACTGGACGATGGGAAAAACTTTCGATGAGTACCTACGGAGCTTACAAGAAGCATTTACTCGCATCTGTGAGAAAAACCTCCGATTAAATGACAAGAAATGGTCAAGCTTTCGATTTGAAACAGATCAAGATTGGAGTTCGGGAAAGCTAGAAGTGACCAATTATAAAATAGTGACATCAAACCATTTTTGAGTTTGAAATCGCTGTAGGCTCAATGGGATTCTTTGCAAATCCAAAATGGTTCACTGGAACGAACCTGGGAAAGTGCGAAACGCAATTAGTTGTGCTTTTTAGGACAAAGGTTGTTTTAGAAGAAGTGTACAGAGTGAGCCAATTTGGATACTTTTAATAGGAAGCGTCAATTTCTGAGTGAGAAAAATGTACCCCCGATTCTCAGGCTCAAATTCCATGAAATCTTCATTGGTGAAATCTTCAACCGTTTTGCGGCTAGAGGGACTTTCTCGCATTTTGAGCAATACTGTAAAATCTTTTAAACTTTTTTTTTCTAAACCCCCCACATTTCTCAAATTCGGTTGACAAGAAAATGTTCGCCCTAGCAAAGAGTAAGTAGACCTTCGCCATTGAGTATTCCTACAGTTTTTATGAGAATGAGATATCGAAAATCATAAAGTTTCTCATTTGCTCAACTTTATGGTGGACCCTTATAAGATAAAAGCATGCTTACTTTCTGATAATGCGTCGTTATTCTTTATGTGCGCCAGCATTCCTTTAATATTTCGATCTTTAATATGTTGTTCTGTCGTTAAAAATAAAGTTATTTTTTCCACATTTTGACTCCACTCAGATAACAGCCCATTCCTATTGTTAAATGCTATTCTAAAATCGATGTCGATCTAAAACAAAGTAGTTGATGAACAATGTGTGGGATATGCGGAGTAATAATTTTACCAGTCGATATCCAGATGGAGTTTTGTAAAAAGGCCATTTTTCAAAAACTTCAATTATTGATTTATTCGATTTGATGAATTCAAGCCTGAAATGAGAACAGGCTTTCCATGTTCTATCGAATTCTTCAGCACTTAAATTGTCAAATTTAAGTGAGTTAAGGCAGATTTCTCCATTGGCCTCTGGTTCTAAAATAGAAAAAAATGCTACAGATAAAAAAAGTAAGTATACGCTTTAACTGTATGTGGATGACGCAGTAGGTAGAGTGAAAATCAAAATTGTTTGGTACCGTAACGTCGTCTCACTGGTGTGACGTCATAAAGAACCATAGGCGGCGTGTCGTTTAGGTTTTAAAGTGAATTTTTAATAAACAAATTTTTAATCGCTATGAAAATTTTTTGAAAGTTCTTACAGCCAGTTAAATTTTGGTATTTATTGTCATGTGACACAAATCACCCAATCATGTCAAAATTATACTGAAAACAGCCATAGGGTTGTTTTCACTCTATGATATTGTCTCAGACATTGCTGTAAAAAAAAATTATATCCGAATAACCCTCGAACATTGATAAATGCTCAAAAATTTTATAACAACTTTCTCAAGCTTGTTGCTTATAGAAAACAGTCCTCCGTTAACGCGTCGGTCTGTTTTCAAGCATTAATCATTAGAAATCTGTTATAAAAAATTTTCGGACATTTATCAATGTCCTTGGGCTATTGATACTGGAAATTGGTTAAGATTATCGAATGTAATGTCACAAGAGGTTTCAGGATTACCGGATAATACTTTTACCTGTCACGAAACGCGTTCCGCAGCAACACCACGACTCCGAAGGAGGAGTGGTGTTGCTGGTAACGCGTTGAGTGTCAGGTAAAAGTATAAGGTAATCCTGAAACTTCGAGTGGTATTCAAAAGGTTATACAACGAATTAAACTTTAAATAGTTTAAAATTAAAAAAAAAATTCTATAATATATGCCACCAAGCGCGATAATCCCAAAAGGCTTATCACTTAACAAGCCTCTCGTGTCATATTGGAATAATGTAAAGTGAGTTGTATATCCATTTAAGTCTAATCCTATTTATGACCATGAAATAAATACATTCAATGTGTCAAGTGTCTCTATAATCCATTCAATTGGATTTATTGTTAAGTGTAAATTCAAAGATATACATACATGGTGAATCCAAAATGACGTATAAACTCTCCACTACGCCGAAGGGTACCCTTCAAAAAATCCCAGAAAAATAGTTAAAATAATATGAAGTTACTCTTAGCAAAGTTGTTATAGAAGAACACGGAGTGGTGAAATTGGCAACATCTCAGATACTTCCAACTTCAAACCATCAAAGCCCGTAAACATAAATGACATACTTGCAAAAATCGAAAGTAAATAGAGTAACGTTGCCAGATTCATTTTTTGGATTTAGAGGTAAAGATTTCACAGTTTGCAAAATGCATTTTGAAAGGTAAAATCCAACTAATGTGATTTTTTTGTCATTGATCAATGATCAATAAAAGGCACCTGGAACTTCATAGGAAATATCACAGTTTGAGAATAAAATCAGAAATAAAGAAGTTGACTTCTCAACATTCTCCTTCATATCACCAAGATTGGTCGAGTAGGATTTTTTGTAAATATTTTTCTGGGGTTACCCGAAGGGTCTCCTACTATGTAGTGGAGAGCTTATACGCCACTTTGCAATAACCCATAAGCCTTTTCTAATCAAAATCAAATCATTATATTCTTAAGATATTAGGTTTTTGAAAATGGAATTGACGCACGGTACCCAACAAGTTTGATTCTCAGTCTACTACATTTTGAGTTAAAAAAAGAATAAAAATTACGCAATGAAAAAGTTTGTGCTCTAATTTGAATACAATTTTCTCAAAATCGTTGAAGCATTATTTGGAATTGAGGGAATATTATACATCACGGTATAGAAAAAATGAAAGCACTTACCAAAAGATTTTTCATGTCTTGTGTTTTTGATGACTTCCCTTTCATCATTCCTGATATGTTTAGAAACTGCATTTTTGAACGATTGTGTCAAATTTGCATACTTATTATAAATTCTACCACGTTTACTCGTACGGAAATATTCCTAAAACAATGCGGATAAGTAAGCATCAACAAATTTTTCTACTATAGTATCAATGGACCCTCAAACTAATTTTCAACTAATTACACTAATTAGCAAGCAATTAGCAAAGCAAATTATTATGCTTAAAAATCAAATTAACTATAAAACTTACCAGCTTTTCTGACGGAAATATCTCTAGAATTTCATTTTCCATCTTATAGCTAGCAGATAATGTCATTTTCAAATTTTTCTCCTCAAAATAGTGGGCAATCAATGAAATTAATGATGTTCTTTGTTCCTCTTGGAATCTCGAAAACTGTGAATAAAATTCAACAAGCATCTTGCCTCTTGGAGTTTCATTTAATATTTCACGTAGAGAAATTGAAATAGTGTTAATAGCACTATTGAGTGAAGATCCCTCACGCGAATTGGTTGCACTCACTGACGTTAAAGGTCTGATTATTTCTGAAAGTGTAGGCGTGCAAGGTGGAATTGAAGTATCACATGAAGGTAGCAATGGTCTTCCAATGGATTCTCGCCATTTTTCTAAATTTTGTTCGAATAATATTTCAGTGCCCATATCAAATTTTTTCAATAGGCGTTGCATGTGATGACGATTGATAATTTTTAGAGTACTGACATATACTTTTTCAGCTGTAAAAGACATAGAAAAATATAATTTAATTTAATTAAATTAATTTTTAAAAAAAATCTCACCAAGTAATGTGTCAGCTAGATGTTCTTGATTCCATTGTGAAAGTAATAACCTCAATTGATTTTCTTCCGTTTCCCATACATTGTAAATGAAATTTGTTTGTGCATAGACTTCATTAAATCTGATTGTAGCAAGATTTGTACTCTCATCATGGGAATTTGACTTTTTGGAAGAACTATCTTCCTCGTTGAGTGTTCGCACATTTACACGTAGTGGTGGCACTGAAGTAATACCACCAAATTCATCAAACGAAATATCCAGTAGATCCTCTTTCACTGGAAATTGGTATATATTATAATACCTATGCATATTAGTAGAATGATAAATATTTGAATGCAATAAAGAAATAACTAAAAACTATTGCTCTGAAATTTTATGCTATAATTACGAATGATTTTATAATGGCATTAAGGGTAGGGGAAAGTGAGGTAAAATGGAGATGTTAAAAGAAAAGCTTAAATTAATCATCAAAATATTTTATTAAATGTAAATGAAAAATTGAAACTATAATAATTATTTGCTACATTATTTAGACAAAAAATATCACAAAAAATAATCAACCACTTTTTCTAAAAAGAATTAAAATTAAAAACTGACATTTTCGTTTTCCACTAATCTTTCCCCATACTTCGGGTAAGATCGTGGTCATCGTGCCACCACGACAAACAAGACGTAGCATCCATTAAATTAGGCCTGTTTTCTTCTAGTGTCTGGTTCAGTAGGATTTCTTTTTTTGCAAGGATAAAGGAGCACTAGCACTGAACCAGCACACCTCAAGAGTAGGGGTCTTCAAGACAAGTTATTAGCAACCGAGAAGATCAAGAGATCCAAGAACTAGGAAACATTGACCCACTATGTGACAATCAGAACTATTTGAGAAGAGAGAATCATCAATTCACCTTTGCACGGATCTATTGGGATGTTACACCCTGAAGGGAAAGCTGAAGCCTTCGCCGATACTTTAGAGCAGGAAGGCCGCCTAAATCAAAACCCAGATGAAGATGACAATCACGAAGACGAGATTGATCAATTCGCCGATAGACTACGTGAACTGGAAATACCAAGGCGTACCAGAAATCACATGAGTACCCAGGAAATCCAAATGATCAGGACTAAAAAAAGGCACAAAGTTCCTTCACAACTACCGCCTTATTAGTCTCTTGCAAGTACAAGAAGAAACTGCGGATCTCGAATTGTTCCAGTACTACGAAAAATTCGGCTTCAGAGCAGGTCACTGTACAGAGCTACAAGCACTCAGAATAGTAGCACATCACAAGCGGATGGACTGGAGAAAAGCCACAGGCGCCATTTTGCGTCGACGAGGCATATTGTGCCATGGAGACCGATAATGTATTGAGAAGCCCTCCCAAAGATGAATGGACGATATCAGAGAGATTGGCTGGAATTGTAATCAAAAGGCTGTGAACAGAGAAGAACGAGGATGAAGAGAGGAGATGCGTATATCCAGGAATGGATGTTGGGAGAGTACTGAAGAAAAAGATAAGAGAACTACTAAAGTTATGATCGTATACAATTTAAGAATTTAAATAGATACCTATTTCTAGTTAATAGAAATTAAATCTACACATTTTTCCTAAGTGAATAGTTAACAAAAATATTCTCAAGTTTTGTGATCTGAGTGTGACTCCCGTATTCGAAAGTGGACTCGTGATTGTGTTCTGCTGAAGTTATTGTAATGGTTTTTCCTTGTGTTTGTATTCTGGCTTTACACTTTGTTCGTTTTCTTTTGCATGCCCAAATACTTTTGTTTATACACTTTTGTTCCAAAAAATATTCGTAGCTGTCCAATACCATTATCGGGTGTTTTCTTCCGGATATAATGTATATTTCTAAAATAATATAAGCTGAGGTTAATTCGTATTAGAAAGTACATATGTTTAAAATCCATGGTTGGAAAAAGAATAATAATAATAATTTTTACTTAATTTTCACTAAATTTATTGACAAACAAACATTGTAGCTTCATCAGACTCATAACTTTTACCAACCATGGATTTTGAATTCAATTTCCACCAAGTATCAATTTAACATATGTTTCAACTTGGAAGCATTCAACGCATTGACACACTTCCGAGATTGTTGCAGTTGAATTATTTTCCATGAGAAATTTTCAGGCCAAGATTATTAATGGCACATAGTGATTAATAGTTATTAAACACACTTTGAATTTGAAATATACTTTTTTGCCTACTGCCAAAGCATCTATTAAGAAATGGGTGGCAAGAGAATCCCAAAAATGGACAAAGACAGGCCATGAAGTTCTTGAATCCCCATCGGCTAAACTAACAGCATATCTGGTAAGCTATGATCGGAAGGCTGTCAGAATAATGATGGGTTTGTACAGTTTACCTCATCAACCCCAAATAATTTTATTCCGTCAAAATTCAGATCTTATCAAAATAAGGGCCGGTTTCTCAATCGCGGGTCATCTCCAGGTTGGTTTTAACTCCAGAGTAAGCGTACAGTACAGTTGCTATGTTTACCCTGGAGTAATGCTTAACCCGGGGATGAAAGATCTATGAACAGCTATCTACTCCTTCATTCGCTACAAAATTCACTTCACTGGGGGGTGAACATGCTCTAAACCTAGTAAATGCTTGCTTTGTAAAAAATCTTCTCATACATTGAATAAGTGCACATGATTCTTATCGAATGTAATACCACAAGAGGTTTCAGGATTACCGGATAATACTTTTACCTGTCACGAAACGCGTTCCGCAGCAACACCACGACTCCGAAGGAGGAGTGGTGTTGCTGGTAATGCGTTGAGCGTCAGGTAGAAGTATTAGGTAATCCTGAAACATCGAGTGGTATTCGAAAGGTTATTCAACGAACTAAACTTTAATACACCAAGCGAGATAATCTCAAAAGGCTTATCGCTTCATAAGCCTCTCGTGTCATATGGGACTTCTACAGTAGACGATCATTTTCCTATTCAGCTTAGAACTCTCCTGGAGCCAGCCAACCAAGAAGAATCTAGCTTTCCGGAAGTAGCCAAGGTTCTTAGAAGGCACAATTACGTAGATTATTACCTAACAGGCAGAACTCATCAAGATCTTGAAACAGTTTCGGTTTCAACGTAGCAAGTAGGCCAGCATCAATCCAGCTTTACTGCCGGGCTTGCTCCTAGCGAAGTTCAGAAATCTTGTGCCTTCCGATGCAAGATGAGCCAAGTTTTATCAAAATCCTAGGCCGATGTATTTCCATGAGGCTGCTTTACACTCGGCTATTCTCTTGCCTGCAATTTTTCTACCCGCAAATCTATTGGCGCTATAAATTTGTAGTGGTTTTACACTTTGCAAATTTTATCCCTAATTTTTGATGCGGGAAGAGATAACCAAACCTGTGAACTTAGCCGAAGAATAGGACCAACATGGGCCGCCTTCCGCCAGTCGAAACATGTATTCAAATCAGACATCTAGGACGGCGGCGAAGCGCGTAAAAGCCTTCGTTTTAAGGAGCAACCCGGTATTGAGGTATAATTTATTGAGACTAGTATCAGATGATTCAGCATATTTTTCTGCATATGAAATCGAAATGGACGACTTTTTTCATTGGTCGAGAGCCAAGTTAGGAGCAAAAAACTAAAAATATACGGAAACTAAAATTTCCAACTTTAACCTCGTATAACTTCTAAACCGCTTAAGGTAATAGAATGATTTTTCTTCTAGATTGTAGACAAAAATATTCTCTCTAATATGGTGTATATATTATTTGAAACATATTATCAAAGTAGAGCTCAAAAAATCAGTCATTTCGTAGACACGGCGCGATTGAATAAAATATATGTTTGCTTTAACCTGCGATAACTCCTTTATATATTGAAGTATTCAATTAATTTTTTGCTTAAAAACTGGCAAATTTAATTGGCTTTCTTTTGATCCATTATATACCGACCTATTTTCAATAATAAACTCAATAGAGCCGTTTAAACACAACAAAGCGCGGTCTGGCGGCAGAAATTGTGTGGCTCCCTTCTCATTCCCGCTGCCTGCTGACAACCACGAGCATGAATTAAAAAACTATGTGCGACGCCGTAGAATGCATGACAGTCAATTTTCCTTGTCTATGGAACTTTGTGTTCTATTTATGATAAGTCTAGTTTATCGGGTTCTGCTTGAATAAGAAGTTTACACAGGTGAGATGATAATTACGGGTATTTTCTCGATCTGAACAAACTGAGCAAACTGATGTAATCACATCAGGTTTGTTTATGAGCGTCAAAAAAACAATTCGAACCAATGAAATCGTAGTAAAATCAGATGACAGTTGCTTGAAACAAACCTCAAGTGACTTCGATCAGTTTGTTCAGATCGAAAGAATACCTGGATTATCAGTAGGTAAGTATAGTCTATTTCATTGCAGTTGATAGCTCAAATCAAGGTTTAGGACCATAAAATCATTGTGAACCTAATGGTTTACAATGGTTCTAAAATGACTTCATGGTCCTAAACTTCGATTTGAACTATCAACTGCAATGAAATAGACTATAGTAACATGAAAAGTTAACTGAAAATTATCGATAATTTTTGGGAAACTTGTAAGTACGAACGCACTTTAGTTAAAAAAGAGAACGAGTGCACGTCAAAACTGAAAATTAATTAAATAGGTAGGTGTTGGTTTTCTGAGCCGATAATAAGATATCGGTACCTAGGTATCTAATAATTATCCAGTAATTTCAAGTGTGATTGGTCTGTCAGGATCTACCGATCGTTTAATTAATTGTTATATTCAACAGATGAATGAAAGTATCCCTCTTTTACGCTTCACGTAGTTACTACTTCAATTTTTTTCATTATGTAGACGGACTAACATTGACATCATGGATATTGTTTATGTGTTTTATGTTGCAATATATTTACGGCGGAATCACCTTGTGTTGAAAAGCCAACAAAACAGTGCTTCGCGACCATATTTTCTGCAGCAGATAAAAGAGAAGATGCTATTTCTTTACAGATATTATCAAGAAAAATGAAACGCTAATCCCGAAAGATTCAAATACACTGCGATATTTTGCATCCGCAGCGAAAAGTTTAGTACACAAATTCATTCTACCTTGCATAACATCATTATTTGCGCTTGTAAAAATCTTTTCTCGGGTACTACTCCCTGTACCTGTATATTAATTAGTACATCTTTTAAGATATTATATTAAGTTTTTCTTTTTATTGGTGCCGCTTTTACCACAAATCAAGCAGTCAGCTTTTATATTAAACTTCTTCCTACCACTACGACCGCTGCTTGATGGAAATACTTTGGTTATGTTTGGGTTATTTAATTTCACTACC